CTCACTGCCTACAGCATCCAGCGATGGCGAACCTTTTGAGCTCGGCGTGTCAGCATTTTGAAAAACCCTAACTTAACTCTGGTGCCGTGTCACATACAGAAATTTTTTGATATTTGCAACCATAGTAAAACAAAGACTTATATTTTTGATATTTATTTTATATATTTAAATGTCATTTAACAAAGAAAAATCAACCAAAAAAAAGAGTTTGGGTGTCACCTCTGACACGCGTGTCATAGGTTCGCCATCACTGGCCTACAGCATCAGTACATATTAGGAATATATAACAGTCACTGTGTCAGTACCAGACATTTCACTGTTTGGTTATAGGCATCTTATTTTATAGTTTTGTATTAACCTCTTTCCTCAGATGTCAGTGGCCAGTATCTCCAATACAATTTTAAACCCTCGTCTTTCAGCTCCTTCACGGAACTGAGCGCAGTGCCTGCAGGTGCTTGATGAATATTTAAAAATCAATCAGATGCGGCCCAGGGGAGAGAGCTGCGGGTTTGCCGTCCAGCGAGGCGCCCTGATGCGCAGTGAGAGCAGCACAGGGAAGCCGGCCCTGTGTGTCATAACGAAGGAGGGGCAGCCAGGGAGGTGGGGTGCTCCCAGCCTGCAGCCTCGGGGACTGTCCCCGGGAGGGAGCCTGTGGCCCGCCCGCTGGAGACCGTGCTGTGTGTCCACTGAGATGTGTGGGAAGCTGTGCCCCGTAGACACTGCGCGGGAATTTCTCCAGGGACCACCCAGCTTTCTTCCCGGTGGTCAGGCTGCAAGGTCGGGGACCCCAGTGTGAATCTGGGCCCGGTACATAGCGAAGCCGTTTCGTCACCAGGCCAAAGGACCCTGGTCCCTGCAGGGTGGGGGTGCCCCTGGAGTTTCCCATCGGGTTAACCCTCGTCTGTCCTGCAGCCTTCGCAGTGAAGGTGGCTGAGCGGCAGGTGCGGGTAAACAGGCGCAGGTGAGGCTAGCCGTCTGCATGTGACTGGTTTGGGGAAGGGCCCGAAGCCGCTGGCTCCGTCTCTGCTGTAACGAGAATGAAGTCTCTGTCCATGGGGGGGGGGGAGGAGGAGAAAGAAGCCTGGGCAGCCATGCGTGACTGCAGCATCGCA